CAAAACGGAGATGTTCAACAAGGTGTAACTGCTCAGTCTCAACAGACTTCTTCTCAGTGTGGAGTCAGTCTGCATATCAAGGACTCTTTCTGTTCTACACATCACAGTCACCTGGTTGGAAGCTGAATGACAATCATGATATTTATTTTTTTAATATATTCTATTTGTCCACAAAGGACTCAAGTCATTTTGAACTTTGCTTGTGTTATATAGTTTTTTTTCAACCATTTTTATCGTGCCTTGGATGGAATTTGAAGGTGAGATTCCTTCAGACATTTGAGTAAAGAGAAATCTCATCTCACCTCTTGCAGAGGCCAAAAGTAAAAGCAGTTATCCTTCAAATATCTCCAGTATTTTCCTAAGGTATTCATTTAGTATGGTGCCACTGATAATACAGGCAAATGCACAAATGCAGAGTCATTTTTGAAAATGATATTTTACAAAATGGTTGTGAGATGGTTTGTCTTTAGTTGTGTTGTAACAATAATGAAAACGAAAAAGTTGGGATCTCCAAGGCAAATGGATCCACAGCTAGTATGAATCTCACAACTCGATTATATTCAAGGCCCAGTGTTTAGGATTTAGTGACATCTTGCGGTGCAGTTGCAGATCCGGTTATTAAGTGTAGGGATTCAAAAGACTTTAAGCCGATCAAAGCTCAGGATCGAGTAAAACACATGAAAGCTGACTGCTGTTTTAGAACTGTGCCGTTGTTCCTGCTCTCTCCATCGCAGCAGGAAGTCTGCTGCCAGCTCGTCTTCCTTATGATAAAATATTTACATAGTTGATAGTGATATTGTCGGATGTTAAATACGCTCCCTCAGAAACACAATCCTTTCATCTCAACAGGATTAGCTTTGTCAAATGAATAAATGAGTGAGCAAACATGTAAACATCATTGTTGATCTTGTATCATATTGTTAAGGGCTAGTAATATGAAATATGATAAGTCTGTCGACTATAGTGTACTTTACATAAGTCCCACTGGTTCGGCTTGTTTGTATCTCTCGAGATGTTTGACTGTTATATCATCTTAAATCCATGTTTTCAGCTTTAATCTGAGAACATTTTCAGTTACATCACTTCAACAGCTTTTTGTTTCTGCTGTGTCAGTTTCAGGACACCAGTGCTAATTCAACAAAGCAGTGCTTTTACATGTGGAACAAAAATGATTTTTAAACTAATTCATTAAGCTTTAACCACTGAAAAATGAAAATGAAATATATTCAGTATCATAATAATACAATTTGAAAAGTTTCATCTAAAATAGCTTGGTTAGCAGATGAGTGGCCTCTTTATACAGTAAATGGTTGAACAACAAAGTTGATTGTCATCTTTTTCATTACACTGCTTTAAAAATAACGACTTTCAATCTGACAATTTATGAGGGAATTGATTATTGTAATGGATGGCTATAAAAGTACTAATTTCCCCATTTTGATTTGCTGGCATCACTTCCAGGAAAAGTTTCACTTGAGCTCGCAGGAGAGGGGCCTTTCCAGATTATTTCTTCAAGTGCTTTGATGAGATTATTGCAAACAAAATCTATGATGCCTGTTTCAATCAAGGCTTTTTATGGCGCATGACTGGAGGGAGAGGAGAGAGCCAAGAAAAACACAGCAGCCACAACAAAACTAAACAAGCAATCACATACAGTGGTGCCTTACTCTCACTTTTTGGAAGAATTGGAGAGGTTTTTTACAATTATTTTTTTATTTAGTGAATCTGCAATGTAGCCAGTAACAAACTGTCAGTTAAATTTGATTTAAACAAGATTTAACAAGTTGCATTAAAGGGAAATATTCAAGTGAAGTGCAAGAACCTTATTACTGTGATCACGCATGAGTAAATAGACCTAAATAATGGCAGAAAATGTCCTTTGGCACAAAAAAAGTCAAATGTTTTGCCATATTTTCTAGTGACAGGTCTTAAGTATTGTATTTTAATTATATGCCCAAATTTTACTCAACATAAAAGCACAGAAACCAAGAACCAACCATAACCAAGAGGTTTATGTTACAGCCATCAGTTTTAATTATTTACACTTAGTTTTAGAGAAATGGTAACTTTGTAAAGCAGAAGGCTCTACTTTTTTCAGACTGATTTAATATTAATTCTTGCCTTTTGATAGTATTTCTGTAATTAGCTCTTGAACATTTAATTTACTTTGATAAATGGATTCATCATGACATTTTTCATCTACACACCAAAACAAAAGGGCAGAAGTGCAGAGGGTGAAGTTTTTTATTAGCAAAAAGTAAAAGCAATTATCCCTCAAATGTGCCTTTTTGGAATGGAAAACGAGCTCCAGTATTTTCCTAACATGTTCATTTAGGTTTGTGCCACTGACATTACAGGCAAGTGTAGAGTCTTTTTTTTTTTGTTTTCTTTTACAATATAACGATTTTTACTAAATGTTTGTGAGATTGATTGTTTTTGGCTGTGCTTTAACAATATTGAAAACCGAAAAGTTTGGAGCTCCATGGAAAAGGGATTCATAGCTAGTATGAATATCACAACTGGAGTAAATTAAAGGTCCAGTGTATAGGATGCGGTGGAGCAACTTATGTGTGTTCACATAAGAGAGATTCTGAAAATCCTGCTTCTGTGTAGCCGAATAGCTCGCCTGTGTGACTCTCCTTCAAACACATTAGGAGAAAAGCATTTTCTCCCCGTCCCTCTCCCCTCTCTCTTGCACTCTCCCAGCCTCTATCCCACGATGCACCGCTGTTTGCTAACAAGAGAGGACAGCCAATCGAAGTGACCCGCCTTAAGCTTGCCGTTTTCCCGGTCTCGTTTTCTGTTTGAAAAGCAGCACACACTCTCAGAGGCCATTTAGCTGGTGCAGTAATGACAGAGGCAAACACTTGCTCGATCCAAAACAGCACAAATGGATGTGGTAACAGGCTGAGAGAGGAGAGCAAAACAACACTGAAAGAGCCTTCCTTTGCTTTGTTTTTTCCACGTGTGACAGCAAGGTCTGCAGGGGGGAAGTGCACAGCATTTTTATTTCAACAATACATGTGTCTGTATGTCTATAACCGTGTGTGTTCAAACTTCAAAGAGTCGCACGATGAAAACTTCAAAGCTTCTGTTTGCGTTTCTGCACACGTGTGTGCATTTGCATGTTGGCCCTAATGGCCTGGAGGACTTGGAAATGAGAAGCTTCCTGCACACCCAGGCATTCCTTTTCTTTTTCTGGGACATTAAGCTTGAGACTCAACAGAGAAAGAGCACCATGAGCAGCACAACACACGCACTTTTCATGAGGCAGAACCATAACCTCGACATAAGGACGACACAGAGCTGAAAAAAAAGATGTCCGTGTGTGTGTGTGTGTGTGTGTGTACTGGCTTATTTTACTGCGTGTTGGTCTTTCAATGAGAAATGAGCCCGACTAACCATGCAGAAGCATTCTGTCTGTGATGCGTTCTGGAGCAGAATTGTTAAGTAGCACCACAGGAGGACCACAGCATAAAAAAGAGAAGAACAGAAGAAGAAGAGAATGGTATTTTAAAGAAGAAAACCACAGCCTGGGGGTATTTAAATTCATGTTGGGTTTCTCTGAAGCAGACCACCATTTGTGTCGTTTTTTTTTAACAGGTGTGAATGGATCCCTGATGTGGACGTCAGCTCTTTGTGGTGACACAACATGGACCAACAGCAAGATTACATGCTGCAACTATTAAGTCTATAAAAAATGTTGGAACCAGAGAATGTTTGACTTTTTTGCTTGATAAATTACTCAAATGTTTAATATATCATCAAAATAATTGCGACAAGTTTTCTGCCAATCAAGAAACAAATCAATTAATCGACTGACTCAGGTCTATGATACATGTCCAGGTGGAGTTGTTGCCAGTCACTAAAATCAATTTTGGTTTGATATTCCTTCCAAGTAATAATAATAACTTTTAACTTTTTTTGTTCTTGTGAACATTAGTGATTTTATAGGGGCATTGCACTGATGTTACACATGAAGTCCAGTTAACAGGTCGCAGGAAAGACTACTCAAATTGTTAATGTAACTACATAATGTCTGTGGCTCTTGGGGAAGGCTTTTCAATATATCCCTGATGATGAAAGACGCTATTGAGTTGCATAATGGGAAATAAAGGATTTGTTGTTTTGGGAGCATGGGAGAACGGGCTGTGAAGTGTGTAGAAGAAACTACAGTGGCCATGAAACCCACAAAAAGCTACAGCCAGTGTTTGTCCGTCCTGGGCTACTGTAGAAACATGGCAGTTAAACATGCAGGTCTCCATGGAGGGTGACCTGCGGTGTCTGTAGATAAAAACAGCTCATTCTAAGGTAACAAAAACACAACAATTCCTATTTTCAGGTGACTATACTCTAATGAAAACATAACTACGAATATCATATTTCATTTCTACCAATAAAGACTCCTAAATGCGACACACTGGACGGTTGCCTTTGTCATTGTAGAAACGAGATATCTGATGTACCGTGAAGTTCTGGCTCATTTTGTTGCAAGATTTCTTCGCTGTAGACCCAAATGTAGATGACACTAAGTCAAAAAGAGGTCTTCTAGTGCAGCTACAACAAGGTTTTACAGTTGAAAAATGCTTTACAATGCAACACTAGAAAACGACAAATGCTTCTCTACAGTCTCTCAGATTTAAACACCATTCAACAATCATAGGGGGAGGAATCCATTGGAGGAGAAGCACAGGCACCAATCTCTCCACTGACAGCAGCCTCATTTGTCCAGAAAGTAATGCAGCTATGAGGCCTGCTGTGCTCTGAGGCTTGCTTTATCTTGACTGGTACATCTTGCTCTCTTGCTTTTGTTATCGCCAATGCCATCGCTCTTTCCAGTGGCACGAATAACAAGACGCTTAACACAACAAGTTCAGAAACGTTCTCTTGGGGGCTTTGAAAAGGCAGTCAATGCTAGCTATATGTAGTAAAGGAAAGGAAAATTGGATGTATTAAAGAGGCAAATTACAGCACAAAGCTTTCTTTTATCATGGTTTTACCTGTAATGTCAGGTTTCTGTGGCATGAAGAACTGATAGAAGGTGGGCTCCGACAGGCCCTTGACGTTGCGCGCTGTGATTTCCACTTCATATCTCGTGTTCCACTGCAGCGGCTGCAGCATTGCAAAGTCATTCGCCCCTGGAACTAGCTTGGTCATCCACTGTTCCTCTTTATCCTGAAAGGAGAGAAGAGGGGAGGATAGGAGAGCAATGTAAAAAACAAGGGTACATAACTTTAATCAATACTCTACATTTTTGTCTGCGAGCATCAAAGGAGAGCTGAGGAAGCGTTGTTTTATGTGATAAACAACAGCTTACCCTGTGTGTTTTTAATCTGGGGATTTGGAGGGTTACCGCAATCAGAAATTAAGTTGCAGTTGTAAAACGCCTACCCAGATGCACTTGCATAAGTTAAGAGAAAGGGTAATCCTCTGTTTTTCATCACGATCACACAAGTTCTCAGATACCTTTCTGTTCCTTTGTGGCTGCAGCCTTTTCTCTTGTTTCTGCTTCCTTACATCACTCTTCCTTTCTTTCCTTGCTTCTTCGATTTCTCTTCGTCTCGAGAACAAGTGCAAACAAAGAACTGGAAAATGAAGAGTCAGGCCGCGAGCTACAAATTGAGAGCATGCCAAATGTACTGTCTGCTTACCATCATTGCCTCCTTGGCACCTTTTCCTCTCAATGTAAGAGGACAGATTTCAAAATTGGCTTTTAGAAATTCGAGGTCTGGGGTGCAGATGTATGTAACACTTGTTGCCAGGTGACTATGATGTGTCTTTGTGTGGGTGCAGATTCAAGTGTAGTCTGTCTGCAAGTTCATCCCCTCCGCATGCCCCTCCATGATGGAGCAGTTTTGTGTTCCTGATGCCAGACAAGGCCGTGAGATTACTGGGGTGTGAAGCTGGCTTCCTGCTCGGCCTTCAAAAGCCTCTCAGAGACTCCCCAACCCTGTTTTTCACAGCATGGAAAGTATTATTTAAAATCACTGTCACTTTTTCAATGAGACAGCAAAATGGCTACACATTAGCACTGGGGAGATAGGAGATTTGGACCAGCTCAAATCCACTTAGTCCTGTGGTGAGTTCTTGTACGAGTGCCATCTATTCTCCTTCCTGGCCTCATCTCACTCGCTAGCCTTATCTTGTGAGTTTAAGCTGCTTTTTGCTATTTTACACACAAAAAATCAACTACTTAAATGGATGAGTGAATTTTGAGAGCTTGTGTGTACTCTCATTTAAAACATGAATTGTAAGTGACACAAGGATAGAAAAATGGAGATTCTCAAGCAGAACATTATTCATTTTGCCACCAACGCACCCACTCAACTCAATCGACAGGAACCTATTAAGCTTGTGAGTCACGCACACTCCATTGGTAGGAAAATGCATTCCTAGTGTCACATCCTGTGTCACTATTGTGTCAAACACAAAGGAAAATCTATGATTTTGAGCTGTTTTGGTGTCTTTTATGTGAGACAAAATTGCATTCTTCCAAATTAAAAACGTTTGCTTTGAATTGTAAGGTCCTCTTTTAAAAACTTAGTAAGTGGCGGCCTGGCTTTATTCGGAGTAGTGGAATATTGAATTCAGTGGTTGGATTTGTTCTGTCTTCTTCTAATCTTTATTATTTTCAACATATCATATAATGAAAAGACCAGAACCAACAATGTGTTTATGCTTCTCTGAATACTTTCAGATACTACTCTGTCAAGCCCACTGGTTCCTCCTTAAGATGGAAATCTTTGGAGGAACACATGTAATTTCATCTTTAAGAAAGGCAAACTTATTTTCCTGAAACAGCTGGATTTTTTTCTCCAATAAGAATAAATAGTGCGTCTGTTGGGGATTATTTTCAGCTGCAGATTAATACACCTTTGATGCACTAATAAGTATTTACAGCAGCAGGATGGTGTATGTGGGACTGAAATATACTACAGTTCCCACGTTAATTGCAATAAAGCAGTGGTTTTCAAACTGTGGGGCACAAGGCCACTGCAGGTGGGGCATGGATGACCAGGGGAACAGTTGTATGAATATGATTTATGTAGGGGAAATAAACAAACGAGTTAGCTCATGCTATTGCGCTGACCTTTTCACTGAAATTAAACCTGAATTATTTTTTATTAGTTTTGGTTCCCCAATCATTGTTAATGATTATGACTAATCAGTAAGTGTTGGTCATGAACTTTGTTTTGGCTTCTGAAGGGGGGCACACCAGAAAAAGTTTAATAACCACTGCAATAAAGAAACATAACAATGCAACTCATTAATGTGTTTTTTGACAACAATGGAGCTCTATGTCACAGAGGAATAAGAGAAATCAGAAAATACTTGTTAGTTGGATCAATTAATAGATGGTTTTGGTCTTGACACAAAGAAAAATAGAGAATATTGTCATACGTTCAGTCGATAAATTGATTTATCCTTGTAGATTATTTGGATATTAAGGGTTTAACACTGTTTCCTAATTTTTCTTTTCTTACCTTTTTCTTTCTAACTTTATCCTGTCTTGTCTTGAACTCAATTCAAACTAAGTTGTCGAGACTCGATTAAAGGATCAGCGTGTAGGATTTTGTGATATCCAGCGGTGAGATGCAGATTGTCCCCCAACTGAAACCCCTTGACAAAACCAAGAGCAAAAAAAAAACTATAGTTGCTGTGAAACTTGCGGAAAAACACGAAAGGCACTATCTCAAGCCAGTGTTTGGTTTGTCCATTCTGGGTTACTGTAGAAACATGTTGGTGAAATATGGTGGACTCTGTAGAAGAAGACCTGCTCCCTCTGTAGATAAAAGCGGCTCATTTTCAGGTGATTATACACTAATTAAAACATAGTGATGAATATTATATTCCATTTCTGCCAATAGATCCTAAATGTTACACACAACAGACTCTAAGTTACTCACAGTCTTGTACTTGACTATGTACTCCACGATGGGCATCCCTCCATCGTCCTGCTTGACCAGCCCCAGCCTGTAAGCCTTGCCCATTCCTCTCTGCCCGTGGACCGCTGGCGGACTCGGCTCTCCTGAGGGAGACATGCAGGGAGGAAGCTTGAGCAAAACAATGTGTCTTTTTTCTGTGAGAGGATGAGTGTGTGTGGCTGTGTGTGCATTCCCGAGGAGGGGAGCAGGTGGCAATGTGAGATATGAGATATGGATGCAGTACAAGGAGAGAGACGGTTTTAAGCTGAATTAAATTCATATTACAAGGCAACTCCCACTGCCTGGCTATAACTAATGTTGACTGGAGCTTCTTATTATTCACTGTATTTTACTAATTGGGTCTTCTTTCCAACCTTCCTTCTCGGTAGCTGAACTGCTGTATAATATTAACAGTGGAAATACTTTTTCTATGGCCTTGCCCAGATTTACTACAATCCTGCTGTGCCAGATTGCCAGAATATATAAAATACTTATCATGAAAGCCCTGCAGTATATAATTTTTAATGCTGCAGTTTTACATCAAGACACAAATTTGACAGGATCTATTCGTAGCTCCAATAATCTGGATACATACTACTGAAATACGAGGAGGCTGTAACCATCTCAAATATAAACAGTTTCATAAAACGGCAAATAGGTCTCATTTTACTTAGGTGCTGATGCCTTAAATAGGTCTTTAAGCATGTCGGCATTTCTATCACATAACTTTATTTTATTAAATGAAACAGGACTCAAATATCTTTCTCATATTCATCCACACTTTCATAGCTGTTATCTGCGTTTAGATGTTTCTGTAGTCTGGAGTTTGCACTCCATCATCAACATCTGTGACAGACGGGGATGTGCCAATATGAACAATTAACTCTGTCTAATTGCTATAACACCATTGTAATAATGACAAGTGATTATTACTGGATACATATGTAAGTGGCTATTAAAATACGTCTGAAAATCCCTTCTGGTTCGGATACTAATGAGTCGGATCCTAATGAAACTCTTATTTTGAAGAATGTGCCATGAAAGAAGAAGAGACTTACGGATGGGCAAAGTCTGGAAGGTCTCCGTGTGGCTGAACTCTCCCTGACCCTTTCCGTTGACAGCTGCTACTCGAACTTCATACGTCGTGTTGGGCTCCAGCCCCGTCAGCACAACTGTCGCTGGAGAGAGACAAGAGTTCATGTCACCTGGAAATGTGTGCCGGCCGTGAATCATGTAGATAGCAGAGCCAATCACTAAAACAGCAACTTTCTCAAGTAAGAATAAACATTATAATGTACATAATAATAAACAGCACAATAAACGGCCGGTTACATGTAGATCAAGGTTAACAACCACTTTTGTCATGCGCTCCTGTTGAATTAAGTAATTAACTAATTTCCCCCTGGGATTATTAAAGTATTACTGATTCTGAATGGAAAATCACAAAACCTGATTGAAGTCGCTTATGCCATGGCACGGCACACAAGTCCCAACTCTATTATTAACCTGTTTGATAAGAAACTTGTCACAAGTCAGTTAAAGATGTTAACAGAATGAATTTATTTAGAAACTTCTCTGGGCTACTATTTCTAAATGGTAGATTTTAGTTTCGGAGATATTTGAGAAGAGATGTCCTGTTTCCATATGATTATTTCCTCATGCACAAAGCCAGACATACTGTATAAAGAAATGGTTTCCCCAGGTGTGGAAGAACTTGACTGGTCTGACCTTAAACCCATACAACACCTGTTGGATGAACCAGGGCCAACAAAGACCTTATTGGCCAAGATTGAGTGTGTTTCAAACTAACTCATTCATATAAAGTTACTTCTGAAAGCAAACCTTTTTCTTACTTTTTTGAATGACCACCCTTAAAGGTTGGGTAAAAAGCGTGCTGTCATGGGGTTAGGGTTTCAGACACTGTACTACCATCCAGTAAGTACTTTGGTTCAAGCATACTGACACCTTAATTCTTCAACAATCACATATAAATGTAATGTGTATGAGTCCACATACCATGTTCTGTATTTCAGAGCTACACTAAATCTATCCAGATCTATTACTTTTTACATTTCAATGCAGTTTTTGTGATATTTATTCTAATCTGGAGTTTGTTCTGTGCTCATTGCAGAATAACATTGTTAGCTGTATTCCTATGATATAACTTAAACCGAGTGGCTGCAGCACTCTGGTAAAATACTATGAATTAACAGTATTTTAAGATTAAGTAGGATTATTAGTGTGGAAACTTAAGAGTAAACATTCCATTTAAGGAAAATAAAAAATGACGTTCACCTATATGAATATTAAAACAGTAAATTCTAATAAACTAAATATCAAAAAACTAGACTGGAGTGTGAATCCCACGAGATCCAAGGTCATTATCATAAAGGATATTGCAACCATAGCGATAGTGAAAACAGCGTAATCTATTGAATTCATGCTGTAAATGACATCAATTATTGAGGAAAACAGGAAATCTCATTATGAGAGCACAGTACAGATTCCTGTTTAAATTCTGCAGCCTCTTTATATAGCCGTCACTATTCAGAGAGGCAGCAGAGAGTCGGCAGTGTAATGAGCTTGAGTGAAACTTGTTGTTTTTATCAGTCTGCACAAATTAAATACTTGAACAGTAATAGGTGCTTTTGCAGTTCTTTAGTCCTGGAACTGAAAACAAATTTTGCAATTTTCAGCAGTGCTGGCTTACTTTCCAGGCTATAAGCAGACATTTCAATTTGGGCAAAAGCATTCAAATGAAACGAGTCCAGGCATCTCATTATATTGAAGAGTTTATTGTATAAGGATCTTCTACTGAGGGTATCTGAAGTGGCTTTTGATTATATGATGCCACTTACTAGTTTGTAATTAGTTCAGCTCACAATTTTAATATTTTGTCCTAATCTTCAGTACAGGGTCAAATTTAACTAAACAGGCAGGAAATTAAATTAATTATCAAGCTTTATTTGTCAAGTACTAGTCCCTTTCTGTTTTCCTTCATGCATATCCCTGTCTTTACTCTATAAGTGCAGTATATTTTCACATATACTACTACTGATTAGTATTCACCTCACTGCATCTCCATATTGTAATTGACTCTGAAATGAGGGATATTAGTGATAAGCCCTTCAGGTTTGTCAGACCTGCTTATCACCCGAACATTAGTCCTCCAGCTTCCATCTTCTATTCATCCATCCATCTTTCCATCCTTCAGCTCATGGTGTACTTTCCACCAACAGGCTCAGAAATCAATTTGGAGTCGTGAAGCATAAGAAGAGGAGGAGCGTGTTCTTTCGGCTCAGACGGGTTGCGGCACTCTCCCGGTGAAGTGTTTGAGGTTCCGTCATGACCCAAAAACATCTCACGGCAGAGGCTTTGGCCATGTCTTCTACTCATGCTTGATTGGTGTCGTTCGATTTGTGTTTAGCAGACAGAAATGCTGGACAACACCTGATAGGATGTTAATCTGGCACGATGAGGCCATACCTCGCTGGTCTAACTAGTAAAAGCTATGAGTTTTGAACTGTGTGACAAAATTAAAAACATTTCTCAAAAGTGAAGCAGTCTTATTTTCTACTGGTAACTATGTACATGTTTATTCGTCATTGTAGAACTGTACAAGTAGTTATCTGAGGATTAGGATGGAATTTGACATTTTCTTTCTTAATTTTTCAGGCAGCCATTGGTTTCCACTTAATTCCACATGGTTTAAAAAACTCATTGCAGACTTGAGCTTTAAGTGTTTGAGTAAACATTAAGTTAAAAAAATATAATTTCATAGGGATAATTTCTTCAGTAGAAAGTAGTTCCAATGAAAACTATTAAGAGACGATAATTTTGAGTAACCTTTAAAAGGTCCAGTGTGTAACAATTAGGAGGAACATTAGTCACCTGAAAATTAAAATTTTTGTGCTTAGAATGATTTTTTATCGACAGAGAGAGAGAGGGCGTCAGAACACCAAGAAATGTGACTGAATCCCACACACTGAACCTTTAATATTTTTAAAATATTATACCCATTATTGTTATATGATAATGTGAATTTACAAGGGGATTGATTTGGAAAGTTTGTACTTTGTTACCTGTCAACAGTATTGTAACTCTGAGAAACGTGCACAGCTCCAGCAAGTGCCAGACATACAAGAATGAATAGAAATCAGTGGCTGTCTGGAAAGTTCTGAAATACAAGTTCTTATTGCAAAATAGTCAACTGTAATATAAAGTGTCCATGGTCTGTATTAAATGGAACAAAATATGTGGAATTTATATTTAGATCATTGCTTTTAACCATTCACTCACATATGTATTATGTTAAGACACCTTTGTAAGAGCAGAGCTTATGAACAGACGAATCCTTTCTTCGTCTATTGATCTGACGCATTCAAGAAAATGGAGATGGAAGCAGACATCTGTTCAAGTGGACTTTTAGCCAAAATGAGAACACATAATGGGGTCCATCTCCAAAGCATGAAGATTTTACTTTCATGTTTCACAATAAGTGCATAACACATTAAAAAAATGATTTAACTGGTATGACTACAACGACACTCACTCTGGACACTGTGTGACTTGACATCCCTCCAGTCCTGTGAGCCAACCTCCTTGTACTGGACCAGGTAGTAGCTGATGGGCACGCCGCCATGCGAGTCGGGCTTCATGAAGGTGACGGTCGCCAAGCGCTGGGAAACGGCTGAAAGACGCACTGAGTATGGATTTGACGGTACATCTGAAGAGACAAAATAATGATGTGGGTCAAACACGCACGGCATTTGGATTACTTCTCCTCAAAAGCTGGTCGGTATTGCCTGAACCACTTACTTGGTCTCAGAAGCTTCTGTTAATCAGAAAATCCACAAACCTTTATGAATGAAAGCAAGGCGGCACCACATTGTACAGGTAAAGAGCTACTACTCTACTCTACTCTACTCTTAAATTATTTCCTGTTTACTGTCATGCAACAACTACTGTACTTTAAAAAAAAATAGGGAGCTTCAACATATATTTTCAAACTGAAGATGAAGGTACTTTCAATGCTGCCGACAGTACTCACTGTGCCTTCTACCAATTACATCACTGTCATCCACATAATCAACCTAAATATATAAATTATTACTTTAATAACTATAAGCCTTGAAAGCAATTTCTCATAAATTACTTAATATTAAAAGTAAGGTGGTGCATCACTCAGGTGCATCTCTCATTTGTCCTTGGACTTGTTTTAGTTGCAAACAAACCTATTTGCTATTTTTTGTTTCTCACTTAAAACACACTAAAAGCATCAGTACAATATTCAGGTACTTACTGGTGGGCCTATTTATATCAAATTACAAATGTACACGCAAAGACATTTCAAGAGGTTTTTACTCAGAAGACAGTGTGGGAAATGAGAATTAGTTCTTGCAGCTTCCACTGGAGATCATCTCTCATCTATTATTGACTCAAACTTTTACACCAATGTGTATGTGCATGTTTTCTTGTGTGTGTGTGAGTGCGTTTGTGCAGAACTGCAAGTGTCAGAACAACTTCCAAAACACATTGTTTCCTGCAAGACTACATATTAGGTCAGCTTTTTGCTCACTACTTTTCTCCTTAGCCAGAGCAATTCAATCTGCACTAAAGATAATTGGACTGCACTATTGTGTATTAGCCTGCGCTACCGTAAATTAGGGGGTACTTCAGTAAATAGCGAGGGGTATGGTAAATCAGCTGGCACTATTTGAGATTAGGCTAGACTGAATAGGGGTTGGGAGTTGTAGTAGAATTTATCTTCCTGAGAATTGCAAATAAGGCTATTACCATTAGTAGAGAGGTAGAGGGTTACAAAGCAGTTGAACAGTTAAGAGTCACTGTGAGAGCAGTGATTCAAAAGGTGTGGGATCCCTGACTCCACACATTCTGGACTTGAAATTAAGTCACCAACTTCATTAGCTCAGGTAAAGGGCAGCCCAATAGTGGGTGCAGACTCACCTGCCTGGGCCAGAATGAACTCCTGGTATCGGACTCCAATGTTGTTTCTGGCTGTGCAGTTGTAGCGTCCGAAGTCCCTGTCGGACATAGGTGTCACCTAGGATGGGAAGTTAAATGGCTTATTACAAAATAATATATTTCTTACATATCTGTTTTGTTACGCATGCAAATAGTAATTAATTTCTGCTTCCATGGACAATGGTGGTGAATGGAGTTCTTTTGTGATGCTCACAGAAGTCACAGAAGTCACAAAAATAACATTTAACGTGAATCAATATTTTCTATTAACAATGGCTCACATGATATGTGTAATATGAAAGGTGTTATTTGCAGTTAAGAACTGTGCTCTGTAAGACACGGTTTCGGACTCTCTACTCACTCTACTGTGAGGGACATTTTCTGATAAACCTGTGATGACCTAATGATTCTGTTTGTGTTTTTATGATGTTGCTGTTGTTCACATGCTTTATGCTTATGTACAAATGCACCCACCATGTTAAGTTGTTTGGTAACTGAATGTAAGTTGCCCACTGAAAGGGGTTTAGCATGGAGGGCTTTTGTCAAGATGTTTGAAGAGTAAGATCATGAGTCAGACACATGACATGACGTGACATATAAGCCTAAGAGAATAAGCTTAAGAGAAGAAAAATACATCTTAGTATAAAAACATGTCGTGGGTGATTAGAGAGAGGTTGAATAATAACTTAAAATCATGTGTTTCCTGTTGTTTTGGTTATAGAAAATGTTAATAAGAGACTGCCTTTCTTCAGTCATACTGTTGAATCTATTTGCTAAGGGATTCATTTTTAATATTACGCCTCGGGGTATTTAACAGATTTTTTCCCCCACAGCACTACCCACCTCCAGCACAGACTTGCCCTCCGCGCTGTGCACCCGTGTGTTGGCGGTTCCCTCTGCAGAGATGGTGAAGCGCTCTCTCCTCCACAACATGGTGGCAGGCGGGTTGGACATCACGTCGCAGCTTATGTTCACTGGGTTCCCCTCCCATGAGTAATAGATGGTGTGGTTGGTCAGGAACTTTGGTATATCTGTTCAAAACATGGAGATATTACCTCCAGCACTTGCCTCGTTTATATGGTTAATCAGCTTTTTGCACTAAACCAATACCTAAATTGCCAAAAGAGTAATTGCTGGTGGGACTGGAATTTTTGGCAGCCAATTAAACACTCAAATCAAAGGTGAAGCTGAGCTGGATGATCAAAGACATAAAAATGACTTGCTGAGGCTTAACACACACATTCCTCAAAGGGAGAAGAAAAAGCATTTCATTAACACTTCCCAAACTCCCTCTGCAGTGTTAAAAAGAAAAACTTTAACTTAATTGAAGCCACCTCATGCTGGGGAAGGGAGGAATCTGCATTACCATCATCTCCCCAAGAATAAAAATAAAGGATGTAAACAGAAGCTCATTTGCCCCAGCAAATAGGAAGGGCAGTAATGGACGATCGCAGCGGCGAGCTCTCGTGCAGATTTCTTTTGGCCCAGTCAGCCCAGCTCAGTCAGAGAGGCATTATGGTTGTTTTATGCTCGCTTGCAGGATTCCATTAAAGAGATTGATGCCTGGCTCTCTGTCACAGCCGAGGACACGTTATCCCCCGCAGCCTGCAGTGACTTAGTAAATGAGTTCATTAGTTCGGTGGCAATGGCTGGCTCAGCCCCGCCACACTCAGACTCACAGCCTGTGTCTTTCTGCAGAGTGGGAGTCAAGTCTGAGAGCGAGTTGTCAGCTGTGGCTCCAGCAAAACAAGTTTACAGTATAATGACAGCAGCAACTTTGCTTCATGGTTGGAGAGTGGGTGCATGCATGTGAGATTTATTTTTTCTACACAAGGATGCCATCAAACTTTTTTTTCCAGAATGTCAACTTTTCAAAAACTATGCAAAACAGGTTTTGAAGGGAATCCATGAACCCAAAAGTCATCTCAGCCAGAGGAGGAGAAAATTGGTTTCCACATGACGACAGAGATACAGTGCTCATTTTTTTCCTCACTCTCTCTCCACATTTATTTATTTGTCTGCCCTCTTCCTTTGCTGTTTCTCTGAGCTTCAAGGTGGAAACACTGCTACCAAAAATAAAAAAAACTCTTCCTACTGGTCTCTTGCAGGCAACAGAGCCACTCTCATAATGAAGCTAATCATTTCGAGGCAAAAATGGAGATGTTTGCTTCAGCGCTCATTAGGCAGGGGATAGCCTGCCCCGAATAACCCCAAACAACCAGCACTGAGGAATGGGTGCGCTCACTGGGAAGTAGGGGAACTGTCAGCAGGGAAAACGAAAAGCGATGCATGATATCCTCTCGCTAATTAACCCTTCTGAAGGCTGTGCGTGGGGTGCAGTGGGTGTAGAGGTTTTGAGGGGGTGAGTTGTTTATAATAATATAATGATCTTCGGAAAGAAAAACAGCCACAGTGTGAAAAGAATTATTAGAAGTAAGCATGGTTGAACTTTCGAACTCTAAACAAGACTGCAGGGGTTTACTTGTTGCTCGCTACGTTGCTGATTTGACTGCTGTGTTTCATTTTCACATTTAGGATCTAAAATAGGAGTGGTTGGGGTTATATCAGGTGAGCAGGGCTCCATACGGTAACGCTCTTATTCATTTTGCCCACAGCCAATGTTACACAACTAGTTGCTTGAACGTTTACTTCTCTTGCAACAAAGCAGCTACACAGAAAAGAATCAGTTCAAGTCAAAGAAACATGACTCTGTGCATGACAACTCAGTTATGAGTGCCACAGGAATTTGTTTCCTATGCCGTTAACCACACCAAGGCTCTAAGGTTATTTATTGGGATTTTAATCACTTAATGAGCAAAATATTATGCACCAGTGTTAGTCTTTAACACTTGCACTATTGGCCGTTCAAAATAAATAAAAAGAAATGTATCCTTGATCTTGACTTCTGTTACGTCCCTATAATACATAGAGATAATACAATTATTTGATTAATTCATTGCAACTGAAGTTATTTGCCATTTTCCAGTAGAAAAAAAATCTATGACGTTGCATTGTACTAAAGTAAGAGTCAATGTCATGGTCAGTTTCAGTGGTTATGGGTAATTTTGTGTGATCTGAGTGTGGATTTAAATGCATTTTTAGAATATGTGAAAACTGGATGTTAAATTGCTCTAATATCAGTTTAGGATCAATTCCACAATTACGGCGAGGTGTTTTATGCATTTCATGACTCTGACTGGTGTATCTCATGGGCTTAGCAGTGTTTAATGTCCTTAATAAACTCCTGTCCAAGTGTCAATAGTGAGACTGCTGCTTCTCTTTTATCAATATAGTTAAAGGGTTTGTTAAATGTACAAAATGTTAATACAGGTCGTAGAACAGTACAGTACAGTACAGTACAGTACAGTGCAGTTCAGCAGAGCCACACAGGTGTTTTTGACTTAAGTTGCCTGATTAGACCTCTGCTCAGGACAGTGTGTGTGGTCTAATCAGCAGGAATAACTGGAAACAGCTGTGTGAGGGGACAGGACCTCTGTGAACTGAAAAACACTCACACTCAATGTCCAGGTACATGCTCTTCTGATGACCTCCGATCCTGCTGAGTGCTTCGCAGTCAAATCGACCCAAGTCAGTGAGCCTCACGCCGCTGATGGTCAACACCGACTTGCCGTGACGTCCGCGGACTTCAAAGCGTCCGTCCTGACTCTGGAGACACATATAGGACTTATTATTAGGCATGACATCAACATACAAATAGCTCCATATGTCTGTGAAATAATGTCTCACTCGCATCATCACAGTTGATGTTCTTCTGTTCACACATTCTAACGTTTCGGCGATAAAGAGTTGCATTAGCATACATGTAATTTTCACGCAGTTGCTGGCTTTATTGAGTGGTTAGGTGTGTGAAATTATTTTAAAAACAACCTCCAAACACATCATTTAAGACCCGGAAAAAGCAACTAACCAGACAGACCTGGGGTGCTGAAACAGGAGGGGATTGATTATAGCACTGAATAATTTGGTGGTAATTTATTTGTGATGCTACATTTGAAGAAAAGGCCACATCTATGCTTTTGATCGTGTAAAGCTGGAGTAAGAATTGGTCGATAGAGATATGAAAATGAATGAACACAGAGCTAAATAAAAGGAATCCAAAAGACAAAGGCTGATCCTATTGCCAAGTAATTTACAGAAAGTTGCTCGTCCAATTTTGTAGTTGCGACTGAATGACAGCCCCTTGATCCATTTTGACCCCCCTTTGCAGGCAACCGTCACTTGTCACACAGAGTCAGGGTTAATGCAATAAACTGTCGATTTATTACAAGGTCATTACATCTGTATGAAGACAGATGGTATCAATTTGAAGCAACGGGTCAATTACAGCAGACGAGGCTATCATTCCAGTAATCGACATTCACTCGTAATGAGAAAAAACAGCCCAGGAGCATCCTTGTTGCAGACCCGATATGGCTGTAGCCCCGAGACTGTTACCTAACAGATAACCTTTCTCACCCCGAAGAAACTACTTTTCAGAGGTCCTGTCCATGATGCATCTGAGAGCTGCAGCAGGTTTTGTTTATTTTTTGTTTTTTTGATTGGAAGAAGATTTGAAGGTCAGACACACTGGGTAAAATCATTTTAAACAATATTACTTGCTGTCTTTTAAACTTGAAATACTAAATCAGATGATAAATATGATGAAGACCGGCTACAAAAGTTTTTCTTTCCTTCGTTGTTTCTTCTTCATCTAAATGTATAATGAAGAAGTTGGTTTGGCGTTCTCTTTTTGCATACAAGGCATTGGCATGAATGGGAAACACAGTTTTAGTTGGAGGAGTTCTTATTATGCATAGTCTGGGAGTTTCGTCGGGTATTTTCAATATAAGTACCCATCAAACAGCACATGGCATACATTACGGTGGCAATCTATCCTGGGCTCTCGAAGCCTTTGTGAACTAAAAGACACGGCTATCAAGTATAGCAAGACCATATCATGATTGCACTATCACTGCTAGGGAACACTGAAATGGACCGGCTTGTATAACTGGAGACACTTGGTGCTTCTCACTGCAGAAAAACAAGGTCTTCTTATGAGGGGTCTGCTGACATGGATGTTTTATGAACACGATCAGGATATTAGTTTAAAAGTAGACACACTGCACAGAAGCTTTGTGGCTATAAAACAATATACGTACAAAAGGTATATTTATAATTAGTAGTTTAGTATAGTTATAAATGAGTTTTTCCCACATTGTTGCACCCTCTAATTAGTCAATTAAGTCAGCTTAGATAAACCGTTTTAATAGAGTAAAAATAGAGGTTATTTAGCTCAAGGCCTGAGGGTTAATGTAGGATTGCATTCAATTTAGTGTTGTGAGTTTGCGTCTAATAAAGGAATTAGAACGGGAAAAAAAACAAAGCTGAGGCTGAAGCTTATCTAGCAAAGGGGTAACCCACAATGCCTTGGGAGCTTTTTGTTTGTGTGTTTCCAATTTGTAAACACCAAATGTGTCAACAAGTTGAAATTGTTAGTGGGAAACATCTAACTTGGTTTTTAAAGGAATGGACTCACTAGCTTGGATGAGAAGGTCGATACCGCTCTCACATCTGTACGCTAACTATGTCGCTAGACCCAGCTTCCTGTTAGCTTAGAAACCGCTCTGTCCCGATTTAACAAAATCTACCTACCAGCACTTCAAACGCTTGCTGATTACCTCGTTGTTTCTTGTTTGTTTATTCTTGTTGTCACTGTGAGGTTGCCAGGTAACCAGGACAAGTCAGTGCAAAGAGATAGTTTGGCACACGTAAACTGCAATTTGGGATAATTTTGTTTATCTTTGTTTACTTTGGACAATTATTTGACTTGATCTTTGGTTCTTTAAATGTTAAAGTAAAATTAAAGTATTATAAACTGACCAAGCTTTTTTCCTTACCACTGTCCAAAATGATCATTTCTCTGAAGTAGTTTCCCTTCTTTTCTTTTGATGTGTCTCTGCACTGGTGAGTTCTTGCATGTATGTTTGTGTGTGTCTGCATTCCTATCTATTTAAGTATATTTGCATATTTATAAGTAAGTCTGTGATATCGGTCTGTGTATGTGTGTGCACATTCTGCACACCTCCTACATAGATTTCCTCAGTAAATCAATTCACATCCAGCCCCTTCTAATGCCCTCCTATCACCCCCCTGCCTCTGCTAATACTCATTATGTGTCTAAGCCTCATAAGCCTTGGCCGTGAGGCCCCCTCTTCTGAATCACACTCTCTTTATGTTGTCACCCGTAGACTGCTTCAGCATTATCCTGTTTAGAATTGCTTATCTTTGCTCTTATCGCTGCTATACTATCAACCAATGAGGTGAAGCGGCTTTAGGGGGCTCGGTTCTGGTCTCTTTGTGCTGCCACTGCACACTTTGCTTGTTTGCCTCGCCAGCTGAGGTCAATGGGATTGGGAGAGTGTGTGCTGAATAGGAATGCTGAGGAGGAATGGGGTTGAGGAGGAGAGAGAGGAAATCTTCCAGGAGAGAGCTTCTGAGTCAGGAAATTACTCTCTAACACCCCCCCCCCCCCCCCTGCCAACTGACAGGGACGAACTCAGCCCCTAAAGCGCAGCCTGTTTGATATGCAGCTCTGTCTAACGACAAGGCAAGCGGCCAGACGTGAACACAACAGCGAGTCACGCGCACGCCTGTGAACACATGCATGTTCCTGCAACTGCATGCTAACTTGCACATAATGTACACGTGAGCGGTAGCCAACATGGCAGCAGAGAGATTAAAGGAAAGTGGAAGTTGCGGGAATAGAGGAGCTGCTGGAGATGAAAAGAGAAGCAGGTAAGCAGGGGAGGGCAGAAATTTATGAAATCCTATCCCTCTGATCCATAAGACCTCATACACGAGAATGTGCGTTTACAGTGTAGCCAAATCTGGAATGCAATCTCTCAAATGGGATTATGGAGACTATTCCTGTGTTATTTCATTCCAAATGCTGAGAATTCAGATATTAAAAATGTCAGCTGTAAATGTCAGCGAGGCTGGAAACACACTGTAGTCTAATTCTGGCGAGCATTGCTTATACCTTAACTTTATATTTGCACCACTTTAATGGTTACTGTACCACCTCATCCCCTGTGATAAAAACAAAATGACATTTAATAATGGATTTCAGGTTCTAGGAAATGGAAGGTTCAAGAGGTTACAGAGAAGGAACAACAAAACCTTGGCTAAACATTACTATTATCTATTTTTGAGTGCAGTATGCTGCTTTTGTGACCAGGTATTAATGGAAAAAAAA